GTGAAAGCGAAACTACTTTGTTGGCCTTCCAAAAGAGGACACAACTAGAAATCAGTGGTTAAGTTGTATTTACAACACTGTTCCAGAACAGTTCAACCCAAATATTCAGATGTGTGCAGCACATTTTATGGAGGACTGTTTCCTGATCCTGGGAGAGTAGACTACAATGCTGACTCGCATACTGTAAGTACGTTTTCATTTAAATGATTTGTCACTGATGATTCAAACATGAGTTTTGAGCAGTGTAGAGTAGCATTTGTTGTTTGTCATTTCTCTGATCACAAATGCAGACAGGGTTTTATGTTTACGCGGCGCGATGCAATGCAATGCAACACGTAAAAAGACAGTATAAGTCATTATAATCAGTAATTATGTCCTGACTGGATGCAACAAATGCCTCGTTTATAATGGGTTTTAATGTTTTTGAATCATCGCTCCGGCCGGACAGGGCATCACAATATGGTAAGGGACGTAACATTTCCGTCACACGCTTGAGGTATTCAGCCAATCACAACATACTGGATAGCTGGCCAATCACAGCACACCTCACTTTTCAGACCGATGAGTTTTGTAAAAATCCACGCATTTCAGAAGGCGGGGCATAGAGGAGAAACAATAATGTACATTATATGGAAAATAATGTGTTTTTTGAACCTTAAATCGCATAAACACATTTCATTACACCAAATACACAAAATAATGTTCTTTTTAGCAGCATCATATGACCCCTTTAACTTTTATAAAAAATATCTCTTTGGATTTGAGACTTTAGTCTTTGCAACTTTACAGATCTTCTTTATGCACCAAGAGCTTGTAACACTCCAAAGAGGAAGGAAAAATTGAAATCACATCATATGACCCCTTTAAAATACATATTAATTTAGCAGACGCTTCTATCCAATGAGACTTAGCTACAAATGAAGAATACGACAAGCAATAAAATATTAATACAAGTTATTATTATTATTATTATTATTATGTGGACAAATTATTTCAATTCTCTACCATCATTATTGCCATTGGACCGACTGAGTTTATAATTGAGAAGTGAAAATATTCTAATAGTTATCGAGTTATTATTATTATTATTATTATTATTGATGGAAGCCATGTTGTAGTATTTTTTTTTAATTACACACACACACATCATCATCATCATGTGTCTGTGTATTGAAAGCAATGGAGTAGGACCCTGACTGTCAAAAAGAAGAAGAAGCAGAAGAGGAGGAGGAGGAAGAAGAATGCTAAAGGGTTTGAGTTAAAAAGAAAGTGAGGTAATTATAAAGTGACGCCCAAAGGTCCTGACCAAGTATCAATGTCAGTGAGAACGCGTTGCTTTCATTGTGTGCTGTTCCTTTAAAAGAACCTGTTGTTCTTTACGCTTCATGTTGCATAATGTGGCAGAGCTGCATTCCATTTTATAAAAGAAAGGGAAATGAAAAATAATACTCACAAACAGTTGGAAAGCATAGAAATGTTAACCTACCTGGAGCTAAAATGTTTTTATTTTCATAAGTGAGCAGAAATCTATATTGTGAGGTAAGTAATAAAATATGATTGATTTTTTAATGTGAACCATTTACGTAATTTATGTAACATACTCTAGTCATGTACTGTAGTTATGTTATGTGAAATTATTCAACCCTCCAGAGACCAGAGAACGTAATCTTTTCTGAAGATCCAGATTTTTGTTCCCCCGCAGTTCATTCAGTGGCATATTAAAAGTGATAATGTCAAAATGTAAAATTTTGGAGTTTAAATTATTAATTTTTTTTGTAATACATCTATGTCATAATTATTCAACCTCTATTCAACAGTGCTGTTTCTTAAGTCACTGATTTCTATGGTAGGGCACAAAATTGTGTTAAAACACAATTGAAAAGCCTTTGAAAAGTCTATAACAAAACTTAAGCTTGAGCTGTTACGCATACATTGAAGTAGCTGTTATCAGGCAAAGATTGTGATGCCTTCCATGCACAGACTGACGCTTAATGATCATTGGACTTTCCTGCAGGACAACCATCCCATAGAGTATATCTCCAAATATAGTGAGGCTTGGTTCAGTCATACAATATTCTTGAGTGGAGAAAAAGAGTCAATGTGAAAATCAAAGATTATCAGTGATCTGGAAACGTTTGCATATGAGCTATGTGCCAAGATTCCAGTAGAAAGGTGACAGAAGCTTGTAAGCAACATTTACTGGAGGTTATAAGGAGTACAAAACTCTCTTTTTGAATACTTTTGTACATGAATGTTGAGAGCCAATTTGCTTTTTTTCCCCATTTATTTTTTAACAACTTTATGTCATTCAAATGTGTATTATTAAACATTGTATTTACTGATGCCTTGGTTGAAACAGTAACAGAATGTCTTACAGGTCAAAGGGGTTGAATAATTTTGATTGCAATTTGTATGATTTTTCCGGGGG